GCGGCTGTAGGCGCGTCTTCATGAGAAAGAGAAGGTGAGGTTTGCGAACGCGAGGAAGTTGGTAATACAGAAGTGTGTTTGTGGACATGGTTTTGGAAGCGGCTTTAGGCGCGTCTTCATGAGAAAGAGAAGGTGAGGTTTACGAACGCGAGGAAGTTGGTTATGTTTACAAGGCTCGATGTTATATCATGTGATACATGTTGCTTATTCCTAGGTGCGTCATTAATGTTTATTACTGTTTATATATATTTATGTAATCGCGAAAATAGGGGACGTAACACTATCCTGGTTTGAGTTTCTATTTATCCTTTGCTTCTTGCTGTTCTCTGAAAATAATAGGTATACATATTAATATATGTATACAAATTAAAATAATGGGTATAAAATGCAACATACTAGGGGTATCATCTTGTGCAGATTCTTCCTCTTTTTCCTCTTCGTTTTCGACATTCACATTGTTGTTACAGACTGATGTATTCGATTCAGTTCTGAAATAACAGTAATAATTATTAATATGTTTCTTCATAATTAAAAGTAGTTCAAATACTTTCGCAATGCTTTTAACATATTTTTTGAAAATTAAAAAAATTTTTTTCTTGTACTCACTCTCTTCTTAATAATGTGTCACGCAAAAAGTTTAATGACTCATAAAAACGCCATTTATTTTTCTTTGACTGACTTGCCGCCCCACTTGGCAGCTTCTCCGCTGAAACAATCCGCATAAAACGGTCACAGAGATTTTTCCATTTTCTTTTACACTCTTCACTAGAGTATACTCCTAAAATAAAATTATGTTTTTTTAATTTTTATAATTCTAATAATTATAAATGCTGTATATATTTACAATAATCTTGTGTACTCGAGCTACGTCCGTTTACTACATAGGAAAACTGACAGCTTTGATTATACATAAATAGCATGAATGATGGAAGTTTGGAAGAAATGGCCTAGAAGAAGTAGCCTGTGACATCAAGAGAATTATGTAGAAATTTTCTTGTTATCACATAAGTCACTCATCTAGGCAATTTCTTTCAAATTTTCACCACTATTCATGTAGCTCGTTTGAAAACTGAACTTGGTTGTGTATACCTTTTGTTGTTTCGCTGACTTCTTGCCACAGCTTATCCATCGTTCTTCTGTCTCGCCTTGCGATCGCAACATTCTGATTCCACAATGACTCCCTTAAGTATACCTCTGCAATCAGAATCTAGTCTGTATTGCTTTCTGGTGTCACATTTTGTAGACTTTTTGACGGGAACTGTAGGCTCTCAACGATATTAATATTTTTCCCATCGCTTCGACGTACAATGTCTCCATTATCTATATAATATGATATATATATTTAATAACATTATGCGATATTTATTCACAAAACAGTATTTAAATTTACTTACTGCATTGAGGATAAAAATAGAGATTTTCGTCAAAAATTGCTTTTGCATATCCTATTAGACAAGAATGGCTCTCTACTATTTCCAAGCTGTCCACAATTTCTTCACATAAACCGCATGTGAACATTCTCTACAAAAAATTTCAAGTGATAATAATATTTCTAAAATATGCAGTGTGAAAATATTCAAGATCTTGAAAATACAAATAATTTCTACTTTAGTCATGCATACTACATGTCCATAATTCATTTCGCAAAATATGTATATCAATTTCTTTTTACTTTTTTTCATTTTATATTTTCTTTTTACTGACTGAATCTCGTCTAAGCTGCCAATCTCCATTTCAGTACCTTAACTGCACAAAATTGCATCAACTGCATCAAACGCTTCCAACCCAGTGAGAAATAACAATGGAATCGACATTGATTCCATTGTTATTTCTCACTGAGAAAGTCCCAAACGTCCATAACGCGTGACGCGAGCGTCAAGTAACGCGCCCATGAGTACTTACCGGATCATAACTGTAAACGCATCAAACGCAAGTACTACAAATTACTATAATCTGATTATTTCCCCAATGACGCGTGACGCGCGCGTCAAATGACGCGCCCATGAGTTCTTACCTTTAGTCATCCTAAACGCGTCTATAAACAAAAAAAAAATACTTACCTTATGGCTTATATTTTGATGGTATTTGATGACAATGGTGATGATGATGAACACGTGCTCTTTCTCCCACCCGTTGTAGGATGCAGTTCTCTCTGTCCCACCCATTGCGGTTGTTACGTCCCCAAAATTTAAGCGACTTAAATATAAGAATTATTAGCTAAGTACTATTAACTACTCATATCATTAACTATAAATACTTTAATAATAAACTATGGCGTATATAATTTACCTTCCATAATAATTTACCTCCCATGATAATTTACCTTCCATAATAACTTACCTTCCGTGATAGTTTCCCTTCCATGATAACTTACTTTCCATGATAATTTACCTTCCATGATAACTTACTTTCCATAATAATTTACCTTCCATGATAACTTATCTTCCACGATAAACCACCTTTATCACCAATGATAATTTAATAAGTCCAAATAACCCTAATTTGTACCATCACAGGCAACTCACTATACACTATTGTTTAAATAATTAAGGAACCTAATTAAAGCACCATTTGAATAATTCTTAACATGTCAGATAAGATAACCTTCCTGGAAGCCAGTAGTACTGATAACTCCTTTTATCAACAACCTCTCTAAGAATTATTATCACCTCCCAGATAAGAGAAACCTTCTAGGAAATATTTATCACGTAACTAATAAACAACTCTTTCAAAGCTCCCTTATCTTCTGATTAGCAAACCACATCCGAGCAATATTACAACATTCTCAAATCACTATCGTTTTACACAAGATAAACCATTAATTTATAACTTCCACATGATAGCTTGCAACACGTAAGCAGTTGACCAAATTTAACTTCCACTGTGTGGAAGGGTGATTCTTAATGATAATGATTCCACAATTAAAAAAATTGGATTGCTCTTTATTGTAATTTGTACACTGTATACAGCGGTACCTTTTGGTACTTAGTGGATTGCTTTATGGCGCCTTGCGGCGCGCGCGCGCGCGCGCGCGCGCGTGTGTGTGTGTGTGTCAGTGTATGATTAGAAGGCTTCCTCGGAGTCGTCGGTGTCGGAGTCCGTCCCAAAGAGTTGCTGGGACAAGCGCGGGTTGATCCTCCTCCTCTTCCTTCGTTCCGGTGTCCTCGGCTTCAAGGGCGTGAGCGACAGCGGGCTGAGCGGTGATCCAACCGCGAACTCCTTGAGTTCTTCCGGTGGCGGCAGAGGTGCTGACGGCAGTGGAGGCCACCCGGAGTTCGTCTACGTCTCGATGGTGGCGGATGGTCGCCGTCGAGCATCCCTGACGGGGATACTTACTCGTGGAAGCTTCAGAGGTACGAGCTTCCACGGGAGGAGAGTAACTCCCGGGTCGAGCGGCCTCTCCAGGGGAAGTTCCCCAGGTATACGAGGGGAACCGGAGCGTTTCCGTGGCAGGGTGGTAGGTACCTACTGCCAGGAATCGCAGTTACAGCGGCCCGAGAGGGGCTCGCTCTGTTGTCGAAGGTCCGAGAACGAGCTCGCTTCGAGGATACACAGAGGCCCGTGTAAGAGCTCATTCTGTAGTCGAAGACCCGTGGACGAGCTCGCTTCAAGGATACACAGAGGCCCGTGTAAGAGTTCGCTCTGTAGTACAAAGGCCCGAGAAGAGCTCGCTTTGCGGTTAAACGACCTTGCACTTGAGTTAGAGGCCCATGGTAGAGCTCACTCTAACTCTCGTGAGAAGATGATGAAGACCTCCCGCAGCGCTTATTAATATTCATGGTGAATCGTTCTTGCGTGTGTTGCGTCCCGCGATCTCACAATTTTGAAAAAATAAAAATGTATCGTTTTTCCTCAAAAGGGGAGATACGGTAGTTAATGGGGGAATATTTTAGCTCAAAGGGATCTCTTATTCTGATGCGCCTGGAGTTCGAATTTGCTCAATCGCGAGGATTGTAGGTTCTAGGTCCAAATACGGCGTGTCTCCTGAATGATCTAAATATTCTAGAAAATCTTGTATTACGACGGGACAAACCGGACAATACTAGATGGTGTGAAGCTGCGGTATAATTACTCTACAATGCCTACACTCCTCAAACAACACGGCGGGCCCTATATGAATGTAATGTCGTATTACGGAATCGTAGAAATTTCTATCGTAGGCGGATTTACAAGCGTAACACTCGGCACAAATGATGGCTCTGTTTATTCGGTGGAGGTGAAAAGAGGCTCTACAACATACAGCGGTATTAAGCCACCGTTGATAAGGGCGTTCTTGATTAATTCTATTATTAAAGCGAGTGCGTGGAGGACACATGTGCAGACAGTTCCAATACTGTATGAATTATAATAGGTTTACGAGTTATTTGGATTAGTGGGCACATAAGTGATATTGTTGGGAGTTGGTTTACGAACTTCTGCGATCGGTACTATTATATCTGTTTCGGCGGAAGTAGGAGTCTAAGGATCGTTCGTATTCGTTCACAGATTCAGTACAGGCTGGACAATTGCTAGAGAACTTTACTGTGCTTAAGCGGTTATTACAAAATGCACAATAATAATAATGATCGTTATTGCTAATTAACATGTAATGAAAGATTGTTAAATCTCTATGAGTACGGTCAGATGGGTGTACACGTTCATAGCAAGATTGACAAATGGAAATTTCTGGTTCAGATACAGTGAAGTACGTGGTCATGCAGCACTGAGCCGTATCTAAACGTCGTTCTCGCTCAGTTCTGAATGTAATGACTCTACGATTTAATCCGTACGGTGGACACATGAATGTAAGTGTGTTGTGCTATAGCAGAGGATTTTCTCTCAAGGACTGAGGTGTAAATCAACCTCAGTCTGTAAGTAAATCACCTGATAGTACTGGTGACATATTATTGAGTTGATTAAAATCGTGGCTAAAGGGTGTAATTCAATCCGATAGATCTTGGATATATAATCAACCAATAATTGTTGGTAAGTTTAGTGAGAAATGAATAATTTATTTATTACTTACCTTTGTTGAATAGAGTCGAATTTGAATGTGAGGAGGCGCTGTCTTCCTTCCTTCCTTCTCCTCAAGGAGTTTTCTTCTTTTCAGCTTACTTTAGATTGTTGTTTTACACTCGAGCGAGGATTTGATTTAGGTTAATTTTTATGAAGGTAAGGTATCGAAAATGAAAGTGTCGATAATAATAATATATATATATATTCTATAATATGGATACAATTATGTATAACTAACTAACTTATGGAACTTGTAATAAGAAATAGTAATCTTAAGACTTGGAAGTAGAAAAGAATTTGACGCGCTTATTTGACGCGGAGTGTAAAGTAGTGCCTTTGAGGATATAGAATGCTTGGGTACTTACTGAGTTCGATTCAGAGGTTGAACACGACTCAGTAAGACTTTCAGCGAGTAGATGCAACGGCGTACTACTAATAACTACAACTGACTGTCGGTCCGCTGGGCCGCTGCTTATATACTGTATCGAACAAAGAACGTAATGTGACGTGTCATTACGTGTGGCCTCGGTGCCCAAAGTTATCTCGTCCTCCTTGTCCAAGGTTACTATGACGGTTGGTGATGCCGAACAATGGACAGTGTGTGACGCATCGTCACGCGCTGTCGAAACTCTAAGGTTACCAAGACGGTTGGTGACCCGAGAGTTCGTTATTTCTTATCTAATTAGGTATATAATTTCGGCGGTGGTCCGCGTTATCTTAATAGCCTTCCTGTGTCGGCGTGATATCTGACTCTTATCTAATTAGATATATAATTTCGGCGGTGGTCCGCGTTATCTTAATAGCCTTCCTGTGTCGGCGCGTTGCGTCTTATATCTAGAACGGTTATTTTATCCTTGCTACATTGTTAGGTAACTTTATTATTTAATAAAAGTTTATTAATTAACATTAACATGCATAAGTATTTTATGCCTATATATATATGTCTTAATTTAACAATATGGTATAACTTATATATGTGTTTGCTATATAGTTAGTTTATTATCGCTTAATTAATTATTCGAGAGTGATATTGATTATTAACTGTGATATTGAGTGTCTCCGGATGTGATTATTAACAGTGGTATAAGGTTTCGTGGAATTGATAACAACTGAGCGATAAATAATTATAAAGGTTTTGTTTTGTCTGCCAGATAGTAATATTATTTGAGAAGGTTATTATTAAGGTTATCTGTAACGGTTTCATGGAATGTGATTATTATGTTTGTTCGTGATATTTAAGAATTTGTTTTTATTAATAACATTTCGAGGATGGTAACCTATCGGAGATGGTAACGTATCGGAGATGGTAATATATCGGTAATGTATCGGAGATGGTAACGTATCGGAGATGGTAATATATCGGAGATGGTAACGTATCGGAGATGGTAATGTATCGGAGATGGTAATGTATCGGAGATGGTAATGTATCGAAGATGGTAATGTATCGGAGATGGTAATGTATTACTTTTGTTAGTTATCTTACGATTAACAATTTTATTCTTTAATAACTAATTCTTTATAATTTTATCGTTGAATTTTTGGGGACGTAACACGTGCGAGTTGCGTAGCCCTCTCGCGGTGACGGTCGGAACTCCCGTCTGGCGGGCGCTCGGCCGGCGCCAAGCGTGGCGCCAAGCGAGCGCCTCAGGGGCGGCGCGTATTGCGCGCACGCCCCGTTGATTCTGCTAGTGGCGTTTTGCGACGCCACACACTGTAATTCAGGTCATAGCAGATCACTCACGCGTAAATGCGCCATATACGATAGTATAAATAGGGTAAGTCCTAGCAGATCACTCACGCATAAATGCGCCATATGCGATAATACAAATAGGATAAGTCCTAGCGAAGTCACAAACGTTAAAATTAAACAGATGTCAAGGGTCACCGATCCGCTACGAGTATTCGAGGGGGCCAGATGTGACCTGAC